ATATATATATATATATATAAGCTTGCTGTGCGCTTTTCTGAATTGCAACGTGGATTCATAAGTTGGAATGACCTCAAAGGATAAGTTATTTAATATATACTGTATATGTTTAATGTGTTTTGATTGGTTCACAATATCCTTAATTGAGAGGTAAGAATCTTGCAGATAAGAAAACTATAACAAAGATGGTTACAGCCTGAATCATTACTCTATCAGTAATAGAAACAGTCTGATCTTTGACTCTTCATGGAGAAGTGGAAACATACCTCTGGGTTTGGTCTTCATTTTGACCTGACATGAAGATCCCACCCTGATCAAAACGTTGTCCATTTAAATTAATTTGTGGTTTGGAGTCCGTGTGCAGACATTTTGTTCTTCTGATTGAAGCTATACATTTCCGGTTGCCTTGCAGCTTCGTGTGATGTTCGTATAACTTCTTCTTTAACCAAAACCTCACTGGAAACAAAGACCAGTTTTGTTGTCAGTGTTCCTGGAGATGCGATCAAAGCTTTTTGACATCATGGATATCGTTTTAGTAAAGGCACATTTTTATGTATGACAGAAATACATTTGATAGAGTTTGTGGTTTGAACTCCATTTGACTAATAATACCTGCTGTCAGACTTTGGTCAGCAGCTGTCAGCCTGCAGAGAAAGGAGAAAAAATAGCTGTAATTAACATGAGCATTTGGAGGAGTTTATGTGTTTTTTATTTATTTATTTTAAAGTGATGACTGTCTCTCCTTAGCCTCTCTCTATCCTCTTAAGTTAATACCTTCAGTGGGCATTACATTGCATGGCTTTCAGCTGAAATGAGACTAATTCATTTCCAGAAATAGCATCGCTGTGATGTTATCCAGCAGAGTGGACGAGTGGATGAAAAGGTTTCTGTGACTAAAACAGTGGCCGGTTCAATCCCGCCGTGACCCTGCGTGTCTGTCGGCGATACAGGAACAGTGTAGGTTCAGGTTCCACTTAATTTAATGTGTTGGTTTTCTACACAGAGCCACCTCACAGCCGATCCAGATCACTGCAGCTCTCTATTGACCGCCGTCTGTCAGAGTTCAGACAGGAGGAACTCTGCTTGTTAAGCAGATGTCAGATCAGCCGTCTCATTCAGCGATATCAGCCTCTCAAGGCGGATAAACAAACTTAATGCTGCCAGTCTTCTTTTAAAGGTGCCCTGTGGAGTTTCTGACCTCCAGTAGCGCTACAGAGCACTTTCTACATCAGTAGCTCCTCATTTTCTGCAGAAGAGGACTGTAAAGCTACTAAACATGGATGTAAATTATACAGTTTTCTTTTTTTAATATGCTGTCCAAATGTTGTTTGACGAATCAGAATTAAGTTTATTGCCAAGTTTCAAGGAGTTTGCTTTGATATTTTGGTGCACAACAATACATCTAGTAAGACAACACTGCAAAAGGCAAGAATCATACATGTGTAATAGAAAAATTAACATTAAATAATCTGATATATAGTTTGAACAAAGACGATGGCATGTGCAAAGGTTCACAGTATAAAGTACAAAGACTGTGTGTAATATGCAGAGATAATACAGAAGGGAATGCATTCCACATGTTTGTCAGACCTCAGAGAGTCGCACAGTGTTTTGGTGAGTAACACCGATTGTATTTATTTGTGTACAGGAATTGCTCCAAAGGGCATCTTTACTATTTTATCTTTTGTCGAAACAGAAAGAAAGCTATGGGGGAGGAGACACATGGGAGAATGCTTTTGCAGATTATGGCAAAACATTAGATGTTAGTCATGAAAAATGTGCACAATCAGTGTTTTCACACATTTGATTCACTCTAAAATCTGTTTGATTCACACGGTCCTACAAAGCCAAATGCATACTCATCAAAAGCATGTTGTCAACAATTTACTGATTCTTTAGTTTGTAATGAGACATGAAAAAAAAATGTGAAAAGTCTCTTAAGTAATATGTAATTAAGTCAGAGTACCTCGTGCCATCAGCCGCCTTAATAAGTGCTGCGTTGCTGTTTTAAAGAATAATTCAAGATTTTTGGAAATGCCTTTTCTTCCTAAGAGTTCGATGAGAAGATTGGCGGGCTCTCATACTCTTACGTGACTCCTCGTAAAACTGCAACTTGGCGTTTTTGCACTTTCGCACGAATTGAACAAACGAGATGAACATTTATGATCTTTAGAGGTGCTTTACCTTCAGACAGAGCCAGGCTAGCAGTTTCCACCTGCTTACAGTCTTCATGCTAAGCTAAGCTAACCATCTCATGGCTCCAGCCTCATATTTAAGTCGACCGACATGAGAGTGCTACCGATTTTCTCTCGGCGAGAAAGCAAAAAGTAAGCTTGTTGTGCGAGTCGTCGGGTCAGGGAGCAGCAGTTTAGTATATGATTAAACAAAAGATGGAAGAGACTGTTTTTAAGGCTGCGTTCAAAGACAAGCAAGACTGATATGATGAGATGTAAAGACATGAGGCGATGTATTCAAGGTGGAAAGTGTAGTTTTTACTAACATGTCCCCTGTGGTGATCCACGTTTAGACCTGGTTTTGTTGCCTAAATGAGAGTTTAGATTTAGAGGATAAACCTTTTGTGTCGCTTCCTGGTGTTTTTCTTTACCTAGCGTGTGAAACATTTAAGCAAACTACTGTACGTCATAAGGGACCAAGTAGCATTTTTTTTTTTTTTTTAATTCGAACCGCTGCACATGTTCCTCATAAATGTAATTTGTAATTTCTTCATTCCTCCATGAATCCCGCTCGCTGTGGCTCGGAGGTCACAGAAGCCCAAGGCTATTAGGCTGGGAGGCTTATAGAAGTGCTGCCTCGGCACTGGTCTCACGTTTCCCAGAGTCTCTTCAGGACACGTGCCGCTCCATGCTGAGATGCTTTATAACCACCTATCGCAGGGTAAGGGAGGGGCTTTCACCACCTTAGAGGGTGGTTGAATGATAATTACCTGGAAATCCAGATGTCGGATTTGGACCTGGCCGCTGAAATGCAAATGTTGTCATGTGCATTATCAGAGAGTTTATGGGGATGTGGCTGCTGCCCATCATGTGAAGTCAGGATATGAAGTACATGAAGGATACACGGAGGGTTGTCCTTATGAAACTCCTCAGCAGCCGGCCTTAGTGCGTGTCTGACACCCTCAGTGTGAATGTGAAATATGCTCTTATGTTCTGTTACGTCGTCGTGAGAGGCATTTGAATGAGCAAGCGCGGCTTTTTATCGCTCGGGGCTCCTGAATGTGTTTCAGTAATTGCTCACTTATTTCTAAAGATGGCCGTGTCTTCTAAGAGCCACTCCAGCCCTCTAACCTGCGTTCAAAATCAATCACGCTGGCGATGTGAACACCTAAGCCTCTCTGCTCTCAAGAGAGCCAAGGGCAAGAAGCTGTGTTCCATCTTGGTATTTTGAAGTGGGCATCAGTCGCATTTCTGCACATCAGCCCACAGGTGTGAGGCTAAGTGCCGCGAGAGAGATGGGGCCAATCTCCGAGACAGAGGCCGGATTGAACGGGCCCTCGAGTGGCAGCTGGACCCAGTAGGCTGTCATATTTGGGCCTGTCGGAGGCGAGAGTGCTGTGATGTCGCTTTGAGCAGCAGAGAGACACTCGCTCTTTTGTCCCCTGGCTGCCTGGGATGCTCACACTGCGGGAATTTAGAGTAGGATGAACGAGAGGCAGTTAAAGCCTCTCATTGTTTTAAGTTCTCCTTCTTGTTCTTGTTGTCCTGCACTCAGTGCCTGTTC